AAACAATATTTGATTTTCTTATCAGTAATTTCTGGCATAATATTTAGTAGTGCTATTTCAGGTTTGAAGTTTAATTCTGTTGAGTGATTCCTTTTATTATTTCCCACAGCTGTAACCAATAACCCTTGGCTTTTTCACATGTCCACCACATATGATAAGAAGTTCCTCCTTTTTTAAACATTTCCAACAAATATTGCTGCTACTCTCTGACATTTTTGCCAGCTTTGCAGGGGTATAGTGCCATATGTGAAACATTTTACCAGCTTAATCATTTTATAACAATCTTTCCACATCATTTTCCAATGATCAATATCAATATTATAACCGAAATTACTTGCCCATTTTATCATCGTCTCCTTTTCCTTCTCATCCTCCAGATCATATTCTAATAAGTATGTATACATTTTCTTTATTATTTTCTCATCAGTGTAAATCCACAGTTTGTCCACCTTGACTTCACTCTCAAAAAATCCCATATTTTTATCTTTTTTATATCTTGATTCTAGTTTATTCAATGACCACCAATCTGCCACCACCCCTAGTTCCTCTAATTCTTGCTTATTTTTTATATTTTGTTCTCTATTAAGTAATTCTTTATAAGTTAGTAACATTCCTTTCTGATTCAACACTTTCAACGTAAAAGCTTCTATAGGAGCTACCCATATCAGAATTTTCTTGTAGGTTTGTGCTTGAAATATATGCCACACCAGACCCAATGCTTTTCTTACAATATGTTCCGTAAAATGTGATTGTTCCTTATATTTCCCATACCACACATATGCATGCCAACCCATACTTAAGTCATGCCCCTCCAGTTTAAGTAATCTTTAGTTTACAAGAGTTATCCATTCTTTTATCCATGTCATAGCACACGCCTTATAATAAAGTAACCAATTCAGTATTCCTGGACCCCCCTTTCCTTCAAATCCTGTAATAGCTTAAGTTTTATTCTTGGTTTCTTAGTCTTCCATACAAATTTTGTTGTCAGGTGATCCAAGTCTTTAAAGTATTTGAAATTTAGTGATATTGGTAGATTTTGACACCTTTTTGACCAAAGGCAAGAAAATTAAAAAGTAATCATTACACCGTTAATTTACAGTTACAGATTCCCATGCACTGGAGCCATTTAATGGGGAAATTGTGTTTAATGGGCTTAATCTTAGGTAAGCATGGGTCCATGTCTCCTTTAGGGAATTAAAAAAATGGAGCTGATATCTTGTGTTTATTTGGTTTTGACGTTAAGGTACAAGAAGGGTGCATCAGTATACTCAGGTTTTGTGTGATGCGAGGCAATTGATCTGTGGCCTGAATTTCCTTACTTTGGGATTAGATCTTTAATATGAAGGTTTCTTCTCTTTGGGAATCTAACATGTAAGCATTGGTTGAAATACAATGCAAGATAAACCAAGTTATGTAGGAGAACCCTCACAGTAACTGGCAAACAGAAAAATATTCCAAATGGGTTCTATGTATGTGCACGTGCATATGATAAAATTGGAGGCAATATGTATTTTAATATAATTAGACAAAACATCAAGACATGAATGCTAAAATGAAATAGAACATGTCAGAAAATTACTTTTCATATCCATGCCTATTGCTCATTTTGCACATATACCATACACACACTTAGCAGGGAGCAAGTTACATTGAGCTCAATGGAGCACAACTATGAGCACACATGCATAGGGTTACACTGCCAATTGCTTTTTAAAATATAGTTCATATATAATTTGGCTCTTCTTATATGTACTGTAATGTGCAGCCAAAGAAGGGAAGGATGTGCATGAGAATAAGGTCTAATTAACATAAATCTGTACATCTAGTGGTGTTTCATCACTTGATGACACAGATTAATGCATGAACTGGAAAGTATTGTGTTCAAGGAATTTCAGCAGGCATGAGGTCAAAGGAAGGGTTGAATGTGTTTAACATGCTGCATTTTGTAACTTGTACTCATAAATCTGTAATGTGGGAAGCAGCAATAATATATGTTAGCTAAAATATAAAAATATAGATTGGGAGCTTACTTCCTATAGATGATGTGACAATGAAGTTTTCTATTTTAATTACAGACAGATAAAAAATAAACACAAAAACACTGCTAAAGTGAAAAATAAATGGTTCTGTTATTCAGACTGATGAATTGTTTAACAAAACAGGTTGTCACTGCTATTGTTAAAGTGAAAAATAAATGTTTCTGTTATTCAGACTGATGAATTGTTTAAACACAATTGGAACATTTTAAAAAAAATTACAGATATCCTTCCTTTTTATCTCTGTTTTATGTCAAAGGATCCATTTAGCTAAGAAATGCCATTTTTCAGAATGATGGACAAGGGACTTACTTTTGAAGTTTCTCATTGGCCTCTTGTGAAGCCTCTAAAGCTTGCTGAAACTTTAATTCCATGTTTGCTCTCTCTTCAACCGTTTGCTGAAGCTGAGTTGTTAGTTCCTCATTTTGAAGAAGAAGCATGGACACAATATCCTCTCTGTTCTTCAGAGCTTTTTCATATGTCAGAAGTGCAGAGTTGAACTGATCCTTCAGATTTACTTCTTGAGACAAAGACTGGTGTAAGCTGGCAAAAGACAAGATATATGTTTCAGTGATGGAATACTGCACTCCAAAACATGGCACTTTAAGAGAGCTTTTAAAATACATACAAATACCTCATGATGTAAATAATCCACTGAAAAACTAGCAACCCAGAAAGACAGTTTCATAAATCAATGTTAACAATTTAACATTAACAATTCCTACAAATTTAAAATAAATTTTTATAATAATAATGCATTTATATAGAACTTCTAATTCTGTACATAACATATTTTATTCTTTATCTGGCTTCCTTTATGGAGGAGTGGGACACTTCAGGGTGTGTGTGAAAACTGTTTAGGCTTATTTTTAAAAAATAATCTGAACAAAAGGTCTGACATAAATGGGAGACAGGGGTCACAAAGCGCCAATTTCCCACTCTGTCAACCATTGTAGGCCACACCTCCTACTTCTGCTGAAAGCAGAAGGAAAAGCAAAGGCCCACTTCCAGAAACAACCCTGCCAAAAATACAAAAAAATCCTTAAGTTTTAGTTTATTTTATCAAAACAAGACATATGAGGAATGTGTATTTTGGTTTAAAAGAGAACTGTGCTTCTGGGAGCATCATTTTTCATGTTTTAACAACAACTAAAAAAATCTGGGGAGTTTACTCTTAGGGCTGGGAAAATGGATGGGGCTGTGAGTGCCTCACCTCAGCCTTATAGTAACCCTATGAAGCGGAAGGAATTACTATTGCAGTTTGCGAGAAATGATTTTTTAAAAAATGGCTTTGACTGTACAACTGGCTATGATACAGACCACACCATACATTTTGACAAAATCAAGGACATTTCTCAGAATGAGAAACCCGAGGAACTGCATTTTTCTGTCACCTACGGAGAGACATCTATTTCCATGACAAATTAACAGAATGTGCACCTTCTCTTGCAAATGTGACCCTGAGGTATAGGAACAGGAAGCATCTCTCTATAAATTTTCTAGGGATGGAACTTCTAGAATCCTCCAGGCAACTTGATGAAATAAAGGACATTTCTCAGAATGAGAAACCCGAGGAACTGCATTTTTCTGTCACCTACGGAGAGACATCTATTTCCATGACAAATTAACAGAATGTGCACCTTCTCTTGCAAATGTGACCCTGAGGTATAGGAACAGGAAGCATCTCTCTATAAATTTTCTAGGGATGGAACTTCTAGAATCCTCCAGGCAACTTGATGAAATAATAATATTATGCAAATTTGTATCCCATTGTCCTCCCTTTAGTGATGCAAGTCCACTTTTTTGGGGGGGGGACGTGTAAACTGCTACCCTTTCTCAGTTCACAGATCTGCACGTACAGCAGCAGGCTGTGCTCCTGGTACAGTATCTATGAGGCCCTGTTCCCTCCTATACTTTCAGGAGAAGGAGCAACATACAGGCAAGCTTCCTTATTCTTTTAGGTTAAGGATGGGAAAGATGTAGCTGGCCAGAGGCAATATGGTCCACCACCTACACCCAGTATTGCCATTGGTGAGGTATGCTGGGAATTGTAGTTCAACATCTGGAAGGCTGTAGTTGCTCACTTCTCTGTAGATCACTTGTTCCCAACATGGTACCCTTGAGTTATTTTGTAAATCTACCCCCATCCACCCGAGCTAGCAGAGCCAATAGTGAGGAAAGCACAGATTTGATTTGATTTATAAACCACCCTTTTCCTCATAGGAGATTACAGGAAGTTAGCAATCAGTAGAAACAACACAAGGAGCACAATTAAAAATCCCATAAGATATAGCATAACACCCTCCAACTAATATTAAAAATACTTTTAAAAACATGGACAGTGCTAGGTTATGGAAGGCTACATGAAATAATCTGAATGGCTAATGTAAAGAAAGAAAATGTTTCTCGAGGCTGCAATTGTTTATGGACTTACTTGGGAGTAAACCCCATTGAACAAAATGAACTTATCCAGAGGATTACACTGTAAAGTAGATGTTGGAAAATGATCAGAATTCACAGTACACATTAATTACTATAATATGGTCACATTCGTTTTGCGTATTACGTAAAAGAGCTTATATTGGTTTGCTCCAGTCCCCCCCTCCCCCTGTAACAGCCCTGTGAGCTAAATTAGCCTGAAAAGCAGGTCCTTTCACAAGAGTTTAATGACTGAGCAGAAAAAAAATTATTTTTGGTTGGATGTTTAAAAAGGGACACTGTGAAATCTGTTTCCCTCTGTTTGACTGTGGTGTTGTTTTGCATTATTTGTTCTTCTCTCTCTCTCTCTCTCTCTCTCTCTCTCTCTCTCTGTGTGTGTGTGTGTGTGTGTGTGTGTGTGTGTGTGTGCAAGTAAAAAATTAAGCAAAATTTTATTTTCCCATTTTCAGTTATGAAAAATGAGATGTGGATAATAAACAAACTCTATATCAAGAGCAAAGTCTCCTTCATTCTTTTTAGCAGCCTTCCCACGTGACTGCATTGCCGTATCATATAGAAATTAAAACCTACCACATGCATAAGTAAAATATGGCTGATTTAATAGGAATCCAAGAGTTAAAGGTCAGCGTATTGGTATGTCATTACACCTACCACCTGAGGTTGTTTGAAAATGGTGTGAAGTACCTATTCAATTAAATAAAGACATTTTGAAGCTATAAATAATTTATAAAGAGATACCAAAAAATCCACAGAGCAGAGGCTTTAAAAAAGAAATAATCAACTGAAGAGTAGCAGGTAAGATACACTCTCTTCTATTTCATCAGAGAAGGGTGAAAAAATTAAGTACTCGAGCATTTCAAAGGAATGGTCGAAGTATAAACTGAAGATATAATGATTACACTTTTAATGCTATCAAAGCACACTAAATTTTGAGAAACAAAATTCTGGAATTCAGTTTTTAATATTGCAGTCATATGCGTACTGACTTACAACTAAGTAAAGTTGCATAGGATCAGGGTATATTTACTACGGTATTTACTACATTAATATAACACATCACAAAGTGCTTTACAAATAAGAATAAGCATACAAAATGCAAGCAGTAACAAAACAAGGCAGAAATACTATTGGTGTTTGTGTAGGGTTTGTATAACTTACCATGGGTAACCAGCGAGAATCCAGGGTAGATCTTGGTTGCATAATGAGTTGCATGACCAGGCATGCAAGGGAGTCAGCCATGGCAAGTTATTAACACCATGCAAACACCAGTGGGATTTTCAGCAACATCACCAAGCCCAATAAAACCAACCACAGTGAGATAATTATATCAGGGATTGTTCATCAAAACAGAAGAATCAGAATCCTTTCAAACAGCATCAAAGCACTTCTTTGTGAAGAAGTGTGTCTTAAATGCTTCTGAAGACACTTGTTGTATGTCCAGATGCATGGCATTCCACAGTGACAGTGCTACAACTGAGAAGGCCCTGTTCTGTGAGCACTGGCCATACAGTAAATAGAAAAACACATACAGGGCCCTCCCCAAATGTCTCAAAGGCCAGACCAGTACATAACAGAGGGAGTCCAACAAGTAAACATCTCTAAACATCTAGAGCAGCGATGGCAAACCTATGGCACGTGTGCCACAGCTGGTATGCAGAGCTCTCTCTGTGGGCACACGAGCCATAAGTCGCTGGATCACTACCCCTGGCAACCAAACCTGACGAAGCGGCTGCAGCCACAGTGCTAGCGCCCCGACAGGTGGCAGGCCAGGATCTGGAGCAGCTGGTGCTGGTGGTGGTAGGCCAGCTGATCTATAGGCACTGGCAGGGTTGGACATGACGGGAGGCGGATCCGGAGTGGGGTCTGGAGGCACTTCTGTGCTCAGGATTCCTCCTTTTGCTGCCACTTCTGCTTCCGCCGCCGCCACCGCCACCACCACCTGCTGGGTTGTGTTGTGTGTGTTTTTTTCCCCCCAGTTTGGGCACTCGGGCTCAAAAAGGTTTGCCATCACTGATCTAGAGCTTTACAAATCAACATCCAAGCACCAAAGAAGTCTCACATGCAACTAAGGAACCACAGTGGATTTAAAAACAAAAACAAAAACACAGGGTGTGATTCAAGGTTTGCATCTGTTCTGTTAAGTGAGTAACAGCATTTTGCACCGGCTAAGCTGTCTTCAGGGACAATCTCATGTTGATCATATTACAGGCGTCCAAGATTATCAAGACTGCTGTGGCCAAGCTATTCAGATCCAGGAAGGACTTTGTAGCTGGATGGAGGGTAGGCTGTCCTAACACTGCAACCATTTGGCATTGGACCGACAAAACTGCACCTAAGAATGCCTTCAAGCTGCATATTTGCTCCTTCAGAGGAGTGTACCCATATCCTGAACAGGCTGCTTCATTTTTGCTAGACATGGAAACTGCTGACCAAGAGCACCACTCCCTTGTATGGATTTAAATTTAATTTACATGACCTCATGCTGTTTCATCTGATTTAAGTGCAATGGAAGGCTAGATCAGCTGGTTACCTGTAGACTAATGACAATGCAGTTTTTGTGCTCTACTGTTAGAATCCAAGATTTGAAATGTTTAGCTTTTTTGGGACTGTATCTCCCCAAATGCCTTATCTAGCATGGCTGGAAGTTATAGTACAGACATGTTGCCTGGTTTTCTCGTCATCCCAGTAAGTCCTGAAAGTTCTGCCTAATTTATGCAAGTTGGAACTAAACTAACCACGTGTCTGCTGGCTGTGGTTTTGGTACTGTGACATCTTAAGCTGACACTCTGGCTTGCATCACCCCAACAAGTCAGAGAAATAACCCATAGTTGATGTTGCTTATTAATATTTCTTGTACTTGTCAAGGGAAAGGAAAGCAAGAGTGTCATGGAAAGAAGGTCCTTGTTTAGTTTACCCATTTCCACTTGCAGTGAGAACAATGAGCTGGGAATTCCAGCATGTTTTGAGTCAACAATGAATCAGGATTGTAAAGGAACTCTGTGACCCCCGCCAGCCATGGTAGCTTTGACGGGAGCTCCTTCCTCCATCTCTTAGACTACTGTAATGTGCTCTATGTGGGGCTGCCTTTGAGAGTGACGTGGAAA